CTTCTACCCCTTTCTTAAGTAATACAAGCTCACTGTATAGAACAGACAGCTACTTAGATGACCCTAGCTCCTATCGAAGATTGATAGGGAAGTTACTCTATCTCACCAATACCAGACCTGATTTGTGTTTTTCCATTAATCTATTGAGTCAGTTTATGAAATATCCCACTAACCATCATTATCGGGCTGTGCAACATGTTCTTAGGTACATCAAATCTAAGCCTTCAGAGGGATTGTTCTTTGGAGCTGCTTCTCCAGTTCATCTAAAAGCTTTTAGTGAATCAGATTGGGCAACGTGTCCAAATACTAGAAGGTCCACTACAGGGTTTTGTGTATTTCTTGGATCATCCCTCATTTCGTGGAAATCCAAGAAGCAAAGCACTGTTTCCAGATCTTCCACCGAGGCGAAATATCTTGCCCTAGCAGCCATTGTATGTGAGATATAGTGGGTTCACTATCTCCTACAAGATCTTCAAGTACAGGAAGCTGGAACTCCTGCCTTATACTATGACAACAAATCAGCGTGACACATAGCTCATAACCAGAGCTTTCACGAAAGGACCAAGCACATAGAGCTTGATTGTCATGTTGTTCGTGTAAAAATACAGGCAAATTTCCTACGACTTCTCCCTGTCCGGTCGGATGAACAGCTGGCCGACATCTTCACCAAATTTCCCCGTCGTGTGCGGTTCAAATCCATAGTTCCCAAGCTTGGATTAGTGAGTATACATCATCCAGCTTGAGGGGAGGCTATTGAGCTTACCTCAAACGGACAAATTAATGTCTGAAGACAGTAATTGGTTCGTTTAATTAGTGGTAATTAGTGGTTCTCGTTTTTCCCCCAAGAACTCTATAAATAGAGTTCTCCCCATTTCATTTTAGTTGTAACAAAGACATAAAGAGCAGATACTATTACAGAGAATATAGCAAGTGTGTATTTTTCTTACCTCCAACGAAGCCTCTGTGCTGAGCGTATTTTCCTTTCACCAAACGTCCATGGCTGCATCGTTCTGGAAGGTGCTATTCCACTTCTCTCTCTAGCGCCTGGCAGAGCCCTAGGCTCTTTCTCTCTATGCTGTCTGGGACGAAGACTACTTCTTCGTAAGCTATCTTGCTTAAGTGATATTTCATCTCTCTTAGGGACCTCAAATCCAATTGGGTCGTCCAACCCTCATATATGCATTGAGCCATATTTTAATAGATTGTTTGAAAAAAAATGAAACAAAAATTTTGGAACGCATGAAATATATTTCGGAAAAGAGCTTCTTGAAATAAGATTTCCAAAGAAACCTTTTCGAAATAGATGTTATTTCGGAACAGAAAGTTTTTTCTCTTCATCTTCCCTGTAGCACTCTCCATCTCTTTTTCTTCCTCTGTTTGCAACGCCAATGATGGAAGCAGCGGTGAGTGATGGCAGCTATAATGAAGGATATTTAAATATTTTACTTTAGTATAGGATGCAATTAGAAATAATATCTCATAATATTTTACTTTTGATTAGAGGCCCAACCTCCACATGGGCTGAATAAATCATTTACAGAGGCCTCTTCACTGCATTTTTTCACATTTCTTTTCTATCTTCATTTTTCAAAAATAACATTCTTTAACTGATTTTAAAAGAAATTTGTTGAAAGATTTTTCGAAAACTCTAACTGATTTCCAAATTAAAGTTTAGAAATATTTTCAACATATTTCGAAATTTGTTAAAAAAGTAAGTCAGGTATAAGATTTTTTAAAATACTTTTGAAATTTTTAAAACATATGTGAGTACATGAATAAATGTTAGGTGGTATAAGGAGAAACATTCTCATTTTCATTTTGTGTTGTTGGTTCTTTCTCTCCTCACAATTATTTACAAACCAATAAAAAATGTTTTGAAAATTATTTAATTTGATTAATTATAGTAAATAAGAATAAAAGTAGAAAAATTCATAAAAATAAGTGAAAATATTTTTATTTTTTTTCTCACCTTTTATCCTTTTGCTAAACATCCAACGTTAATTTTCCCTCTCCCTATCTTTCTTCTTCCAGCCAAGGGTAAATTTTCTAATAGGTCCTACACATATTTAGATCCTAAACAAATACTAAGGTGGTGATTTGTAAATTTAAGAAATTTTAGTGAGAATTAATACTTTAGGGAGACTATGTTAAATTAAATTAATGATGAATTAATTTAAATTATGTTGAAGAATAAAATATTAAGAGATAATCCTATTACATTTGTTTTATTATGTTAAATAATCTCAATTGCATCACCAAACATTTAATTAAGGTAAAAAAAATTATATATACATTTTTTATTTAATTCGCAAGGTATTATTTAAAGGATAAAATCATAACATAACTTTAAACTTTATAATGAATAATACACCTCAGATGTGATGATGAACTCTTAACGTGGACAATTTCTTAAAATAAATCATATATTAAGAGAAATTCATTTAGTTAAAATTCATAATTGATTAATTTTTAAATTTGTGAGAATACACATGCACTAGTTTCCTTAGGAGATTTACTGGAAATGTGAACATATCCCTTATTAACTCTTCAAAAGGTAGGAATTGAACTTGAATCACTTTTGTTAAATGAGGTGAACACGTCGTTGGTACCGATTCAAGTGGGTCTCAAGATGATATCTAGAAAATATAGAGAGAAAAGAAGAAAAATATATGTCATGCAATATCAAATAAGAGAAAGATAAAAAAGTTAACAACGATTAATAAAGTATATGTACTAATTTTAGAGATATCAAAATGAATTTTAACTTATGAATTAATCAGTTTGTTATGGATCGATGGATTGGACTGAATAAAATTAAATATTTTTA